AAATACTTTAACCCCCTAAAATTCCAGGCTTATTACATACTAAGGCTTTTTATTCAGTAAATACAGGGACTTCAATGTAAACTGGCTGAGCTACTCTTCTAAAGTTCTAAAACTTTGGGCCTGCAGGTGGGTTCCAGCCATTTAAGAGGTTAACACAGATCACATAGTTTCTCTCGCTCTGGCAGAAGGTTGTGTACAAGTTAAGGATGACATGTAGTTTAAAGTAGCAATGTCTACTTTGGCTTTTACAATAGCAGTAAAGATCCCATTGTCATCTATTGCAGTTCATAGTGCTGCTAGTCTCAACAAATTCAAGCCATTATCAGTTCAGCAGTGACATAAGGAATCAGTAAAATCTGTGTAAAACTGAGTGATCCTGTATAATTGTGGTGACAGAATGAAGTAACTACATCCCTGCTTACCAGAGTTCTTGTTTGTGTAACCAGTTATAAAGCAAGACTATACTGTAAATACTTAGAACTTAATGCGGTAGTTCATAAAAAATCATTTGTATACAATTTTCCCCTTACTCTAAAAGTAGTCAATTGGCCAAGACGTGCTCGGTGGTTTTTGTACTTGAGCTATGCGTCCAAAGTAGCTACCAAGTAATAGAAGCTTATACCCCGTAGACCAGGGGTCACTAATCCTATCCACAAAGGGTCACTATGGCTGCAGGCTTTCATTACAACCAAGCAAGAGCACACCTCATATAACTAATAATTTATTTGAAGACTGAGACCAACTAATGAGATAAAATGGAATCAAGGGCAATTTTGCTTGAATGGAATGAAAACCTGCAGCCAGACTAGCCCTTTGTGGATAACACTGGTGGCCCCGACACAGATTTTCAATGTGCTAACTACACGCCTAAATTATCACATACTTGCCCCAAACTATGTCAAATTGAAAGTAATCTCAAATAAACTAAAAAGGTTCTTTAGAGAACCAAAAGAGTTTTTAATGACATTTTTGGTAGCTTCACTTTTAAGAGTATATGAGGGAGTGCTGGACAGTCTCGGCTCGATTTATCCCACCTGCATATCTAATGCTGTTTTTCCGTCACACACTATGAGGGCTAGTTGCCATGGGATGCAGAAATGCCATATTTACACTGAAAACACCAGAGGAGAGTCAGTGGAAGCCGTTTGTTTTGCCATGACACTCCCACAGAGGGCAAATCTGATGAAGCTTCACACGCAAAGTGTCCCTGCAGACCAGAAACGTCTCCTTCACACACACACACACACACACACACACAACCAACTCCCTGCGTTTCTGAGTTGTAATCACAAAGAATCCATCTTCTTGTTTACCCTCGAAACTGGACTGTTATGGCCCTTGTGCTCAGAAGGCTTAGCTTGCGTTTTTTGAGCTCTGCTTGTGTCCTCCCTACACCCGCTCTGCTGGAGTCAGCCTGGCGAAGCTAATGTGACTGTGTGACTTCTATAAGGTCATAAGAGAGGACGGGCCGGACACTAAGCCCATACCTATGCCATCTCTGGCCTCCATTTTGTTTTCTCTCTCACTTTCTCTACGCAGCAGCCCTCGCACTGAAGCTGTATGTGCCTGGCAGGGAACTGTGTGTGTATTTTAGCATAGTAATGTGAGACACAGAGGCGGTGTGAGGTTGTGTCTCATGTTCTTCCAGTGTTTTCTTTGACCACTTGTTTTTGGAAAACCATTTGCTTTTGGAAAAAAAAGATTCAAATTCCTGTGAAGGAGGAAACAGTCACAGATAACACAGTCACACTGTGATTGGTTCAATGGGGTAGATCCTTCACTTGCATCTACAAATTCTAGGTACTAGGACGACTACACAGTAAAATAAAGGCATGATAACTACCATAATAATTATTTTGGCAAGGCAATATGTTATTGAACAGGTTGGCTCAAGTCATATCATCACTGTTGTAAAAAAAGTTTGTATTTCCAAAACTGTGATTTTCTAGGCAAAGCAAAAGGTTATTATGTGTTAATGTGACGAGATTTTAGTAATTCTAGGCCATTTCTATTGGCTAATTAGTCATGAAACATTTACATAATGTAAAGAGCAACTGGTCCTTTCTAGTGGTGTAAATAAAACTGAAGAAATGTGAGGCTTTGATAAGACTGTGACAATACCATACCACTGAACTACACTTCACTGCTACTTCTTCCAAGTCCTTGTGCCTAAGACCACTGCTTTACTGTTTTGTTGTGCATTATATACAGCACAACTGACTGAATTTTAACCATCTGAGATCTTTTTGTGTGCAGTTCAGCAAAGCAACTGAACAAGTAATACAGGAGTTGTGGCTTGTTGGCTGTAGTATACAGCAGGAACATGTATGTGCGTCTGTGCATGTTACAGTGTGCACACACACTGTGGTGCCGTGCTTCAGTGAAACTCTCAGGGTCCCATATCCCTCCCAGCGTTCAGGTCATGGGGGGAACAAAGCAAACTTTATCAGAACACTGCAATCCCGCATTCCACAGATTCTTAGCACTTGGCAACCGTATAGCACACAGTAAGGCAGAGGGGGAGGGGTGGAAGGAGAGAGAGGGGGGGTCTGAGTCCAGAGACCCACTGCCTCATCCAGTCAACCTATGATTGGCCGCATTTAAGTCCCCACAGTCAACTGATACTGATGTCAGTGGCGTCAACTGTAAGGGAGATTAAAAAGTGGCACTAAAGAGGAACCTTGCAGGGAATTCAGTATAACAGATTTCTTCATATGACAAATGTCCTGGGAAAGTTGTGCCCATCAACTAAAAGAAGGTTTGACCTTCTAGGTTAAAAGTGAAAGCTCTACATACACTGTATGGCTCAACCACAACAAAGTCACAACAAGGTCAATGAGATCCAGTTCTAGCTGTGCAAAGGTTCAACAGCCTCTGGCCTGAATCTCTTTATCTTATTCCTCTTGTCCATATTTCTTTCTATCCCTCTAACTTTACCAATATCAAACAGATGCACAAATCACAGGGGGCTGAGAGTATGATGTAAAAGTGAAAGCTCATAAATAGCGTTGAGTTCACGAGTCTTGATGGCTGGGCCTGTGATCTTTGAGCGCTTACTCAGATTGAAAAAATATCATCAACTTGTGTGCCACTTTGATTCTTGCCCAGATCAAGGGCCCACTCATCAAAGCATTCTTTCTTAAATCAGACTTTCGGACTTGAGCCACATTTCGGCAGATGCCCAAGGAGGCCAACTTTTTAGGGGGTGGAAAAAGACATCAAGAAAATGTTCACATCATTGCCATTTATTCACTGTTACCTGTAATCTATTGAAAAGTTTGCTCATTCTGCTTTCACCTATAAAAGGACACAGGATGTTGGTTATATATTTGACTGTTTTGTGCCAGTTATTTCAGTTTAATCTGCAGCTATGTCTGAGTACTCAATAACCACTTAACAAGTGAATGGATAACAAGCACAAATGAAAACTGGTCTTTTCCTATCTTTCTTTTCCTCTTTGTCTTTCATACACTTGTACACACATGCACACACTCACATTTACATTCACCCATTTCCACCCCCCAAGAACCCACAGACGCCCGAAGCAGAGATCAGATGAGCGGAGGCCGTCTGACCTTGTGAGAGGTCACACTCTTGTGCTTTTAGTCTCCGCATTTAAACACACAGGCCTGATTCCAGTCACGAAATGCACAGTAACAGAACAAATCATCTGTGTCACCAGTACACTGATTAACAGAACTAGCTAACTCTTAGAGGTGAAGTGGAAGACGCTGTTGTAGTCACATAAAGACATAAGACATAGTACACATAAAGACATAAATGAGGACTGAGGAAAAATGTTTAATTAAATTGTTAATTTTAATCTCCTGCTTAAAGTGGTAGTTCAGGTTCTAGTATATCAACTACGTAAGGCTTCATTTACAGCACTTCGAAAATGACCAAAATATACGTCCAGCAATTGCTGACTGGGGAATGCAAATCTCTGTCCCATAACTAAGCTCAAAGAACATAATTAAACAGAAAAGAGTTTGAGTATGCAATTCTGAAAAGCTAGACTCCTTAATTCCTGACCCGAGACAGGAAGTGTGTCTATCTCCATAGGAACACTCGCAAGGAGCCAATCTTCCAAACACAGGCTGTGGTTGCTACTGGACTTCCAGTATAATGATACTCAGACAATTTTTCTGTTGACTCTATGCAATAAAAAGATGCCCAACAGAGTCAGATTTTGGATTTCGATCGTCAAGATGTAGATTACTGAAAATGAGTAGCTATAGAGACTTAATGTTGGAATATCTCAAAAGTTAATTGTTTCATCTCACCTCTAACAAAAAGACCTATAGTACTGTACATTGTATAATTATTCCTGTAGTACTGGCTTATAGTGCTCTATAAAACGTGTGTAGTATCCTGTAGTAAACTTTAATAATTGTCTTAATTTGCTGTGAGATTTGTACAGAAACCCTGTACAAATAGCATTACTGTATCATTGCTATAGTATCACTATAGATCTTTTTTTCTCATGAGAGGTGTGTGGAATCTATACGTCAGCTGAAACAGGGCTAAAAAAGAAACAAAGTTGTGGTGAGAAGAGGTGCACATACATTGCCTGGCTGAGAGATGAAGCTTGTCTTGCAACTGCAGAGCATCTGTAGGCCCACACATTTCTGACTTCCGTTTACGTTCAAAGGCGAAGTAAGAGCACAACCCACAAAACAGAACTCAAAACCCTCAGCGATGTGTTAACTCAGCTTCTGATTTCAACTTCACTGAGCCAGTGTGAGCCGACTACTACGGGCTCATACAAATCGGATGACTTTTTATTAAATTTCTAGTGAAAAATACTTCAGAACAATAATAAACATTAAGTAATTTGTGTGGTAAATGATACGTGAAACGTACAGCAGTTCGGTCGTTATAACGGGGTCATTTCCTGGACAACACTGAGCAGACGTACAGTCGCTTTTCCTTTTAGAAAAAAAGGAAAACTGTCAGGCTCTTCCCAAAACACTTCAGCCTGAGTCGGCTCTCAAACTCACCAGGTCGCCGGAGCAGGGCAGCATTCCTCGGCACATCGCGGTCTGAACTTTATGCTAACTTTCCCTCAGTCGCCGCTACAGCCGCTTCCTCTGCAGTCTGTCTGTACGAGGACACGGCGTCGTTACCACACCGACTCCGGGTCTTGTCTGGTTGTCTGGAGTGGCGAAAAAAGATGCCGTTCTCTGTTCGACTGACCCTCGCCATGTTCTTTGTCTTCTTCACTGTTTTTTTTGTCAGAAAGTCTCCAACTTTGCCCGGGCACTCTGAGGCGCCGCTCGGTCGAGTCTCGTTTCGAGTTTTGAGACGAGAGCAAAATCCAGCACGAGCCGAAAACGGTGAATGACGTACAGCTGAGAAAGTACAGCGCGCTTTAAGATGGCAACTGGAAGGGTGGGGGCTTCTCGACTCCTTCCTCGTCCGAGTGCGCTGAAGCTGTCAGCGGCTCTGGCCTTTCTGTCACTCCCGACTTTTTCTATGGAGCTTGTGCGACTTCGGCCGGCCCCTTTTCTACCGCGGCATGTGAGGACTGACCAATGAGCGGACACAGCGCCCTCATCGCTGCACGAGCTTCAGGCTGCTGCACTCCACGACCCCGTGACCTACCTGCAGCCCTGTTCAACGACTTTTCCATTAAGTTAGATTATTTTTTTAGGAGACTTAGAGTATTAGGTGCTTTTGATGAGATTATAGAAATTGTAGTGTAATTATAGAAATTGATTATAATTTTTGGAATTACACCGCAGTGGTGTAACCTCTCCCCCTCTTTCCCCCTTTTTTACAGCAGGGTACTTATATATGACACTAACCTAATAGTTGTGAAGATGGGGAAGCATTGAATGCTTATTTATTTATTTAGTAGCAGAGTATTTGTACTAATTTCCTGAAAACTGTAAGTTGCCCTTGGGCGTTCGAGTCAAGGCCGCTTTTTAAAAGAGCATGTCAATGAAAACGAGTCGTGACCTTAGAAATGAGTCTTGTGCTTTGGTGAAGAACAAGGCTAAAGTCTGTTTTACCTGCCCTCATAAACCAGTGTAATATTTTGAACACAAACTGAAAGAGAGGGCAGGGGGTAGAGAGACTGGTTTTTGGGGTCTTAGCTGTTTCTCATATCACAGCTGAAAGCACCAAGCAAGCTGGTTGTTCTGTTGACACAACAAATACAGGCCTGTATTACTGCACTCCCATGGAGGGCAGGTCAGTCACCATTAACTTACAGAAGCCCACAACAGTGCATCACAATTACAAGAAAACTGATATAATTCAGGTGAAGTAGCTTTATTTGTCTGCTTTATCTAATTTTGAAGGTAGGTAGGTTTTTTCTCTTTCTTTCAAACAAATACATTCATTACATTGTCAGTACAATGATTACTCATTTAGCCTGGTCACAATACTTTCCTGGCTTTAAAAGTGTTACGTCTTTTTGTTTTAAAACTTATTAATTAATTCCTCTCATAATTAAATAAGTTCAACCAATTTTTTTCTTGTTCTGTTTATTGTTTTTTAGTTGATTTGTTGGTTTTTATTGATGTGTCATGGTAAAAGGAGTAAAGGACCGTCTGCTTTCTTTTTATATTCAGTTCAGTCTAAGATTTCATATCAGAAATTACATGACCAAAGAAATGTGAACATAAGTTAAAAAAGGCGATACTGAGTCAACTGCACATTCAATATGGACAAGTAGTCTGACCTTTGGTATAAAATGACTTAAGTACCTTACACACGAGTGTGTTTTAGAAAAACACTAATTACAGTACAAATTAGGGTATTGAGATCATGCATTATGGTAATTGTGTACAAAAGAGAACATTACACATTTTGCAAATAGAATTTATTTTAGAAATGTTTTTTTATAACTTGACAACTTTACAACTTACAACTGTAAGTCCAGTTTACACAGTAAATAGGAAGTAAGAACATAACATATAAATCTGGTCTTGACCGCAGATGCCTTTTATCTCCATCTAGTGGAGGACAGTTAGAACTAGCAATGCTATGACACAAATCCAGGCGATAAGGTTTTGTTATGAGTAGGAGTGTTGGAGTTTTGAAGGAGTGTTGGAGTGTTGAAGGAGTGTGCACTAAACAGTAGTAGACTTACTCAAAAAGGTGCTGTAGACTTTTATGACTGAAGCATAAAAGTAATAATAAAAATGATTATCACTGAAGTTCATGTACTGAATTATTGTTTTACAATTATTATTCTTCTTTTGAAAACAGTTTCACAACACTGATTTGGTTTTGTGCACAAACACTTGTATTATTTTTTAACTTCATAATACTGATTTGCATGAAATTCAGTTTTGACGTACAGTAAAATAAGCCATTATGTCCAACAGATAGCATTATCTGTAGTAACAGAATGGAATGTAGCAATACAAGATGATTACCTTATGGATATTTGCACATGTAATCAACACAAACCTGTGCTTTATATGTGAGTGTGGCGATTATGAGGACCACTATATAGGCTCAGTGAAGTCCTCTCCATGGTACAGGCCATAATGGAGCTGCTCTTGCTGTGCTGCAGCCCAAGCCATCTGCAGACTGCTGAAACGAGCTGTCCAGGTCCCTTTTGGGTCCACGACCACCACACCACCCAAACCCTTCACACGCTCCTTCATGTAGTCCAGGGCTAAGTCACTCGCCTCCTTTGGGCTTTTTCCTGGAGAACAGTTGTCTTGTTTTTACCATAATTGTCATCATATAATTACACATCAACTGCACTCCCTCAAGAATAGAACTGTACTGACTTCTGGTGCATATGCAGTCTTGTGGTGGCTTACTTACCTATCATAGCTGTCATAACAGAACCTCCTAACTCTGAAATGGTGACATTACAGGAGAAGGAAAAGGGGTTCTTAACTTTAATTAAGGAATAGAGGGAGTGTGTTATCGCAAATAACATCAAAGCGGTGATTCAGTTGCAGGCTTGAGGTGAAGGCAAGTACCACAGATCATCACAGTTATACAACAGTTGTGCAAAATAAAGAAAAAAGTGTAGCAAAGGATTCACAAATATTGTATCAAAAGTGCTGTAATATTGGCAATTCCTTTCTCCAAAAAAAAGTATCCTTCTGCATTACAGACAGAGCCATATAACTGTCTCAATATGAAGTTCAGCTCAGCATTTTCAATATTTCAATACTTGCCAGATTCACCTGAATGTTGTTTTGTTCCAGCCAGAATGTAAAGCATTTCACAGCCTATATTGCTTGCTGAATTTTATACTTATTACTGGCTAATTACAATTTATTTAGGGACAACAATGGAATTTGATGTAGTGCTGAAATCACGCTCTTCTTTAGAATCTGACCAATCTGAACGGGCTGCAGATCAAATACCGTCTTACAGAAGTCATTTAATGTATCCATGTTTTGTTTATTTGTATGTAAAAAGAAGAGTAAAGTAGAGGTAAAGTAGAATGGTAATAATGGTTAGCTGCTGTGTAGAGCGAGACGTTACATAGCAACCAATGCTCAGCGGAATGATATAGTTATGATACAGTGAAATGCTGTTATTATAAACAACAGCACGCCTAGACTTCTCAGCCAATCAGATGCGCAGTCGTAATTAACTGTGCGATAATGTACACTAATGTAACAGCATTTTTATTTAATTCCATTTTGGGCCATTTCTATTGCTCTATTCATCATGAAGCATTTACACAATGTAACTGTTAGCTGGCATTTTAAAACAGTGTAAAAATAAATTAAAAAATGTAAAAGATGTGAGGTTTTGATATGACAGAGATGATATACACACATTTAAAGTATCACAGAACTCCCTTCCTTTAACAAACCAGTAACAATAGTATATGCACACTGCTTCACTCTATTTACTTTAGCCAGCACCGGCAGAGTTCTTTGCTGAGGCATTAGCTGTTTCATTAATCCCTGGCTTTATGGATTATAAGGTAAGATTCTAATGTATAGAGTGCTTGTTTGTACTGTGTCAAAGGCAGGTCACTATAAGCTGCTCCACCTCCAAAGTCTAATGCAGTGCACTCATTTTGTTACATTATATTCATATACAGACATGATTTACTCAGCATCAGAGCTTAGCTGTCATATCAGCGCTCAACAGAAATTTGCTAAATGTACGTAAAAAATAATTAGTGTCCCTCATATAGAAGCGTTTAGAGTAGTCACTGTGAAATCAAATCATTTTGTGACCAGCAGAGTTTTCATATTTTACACATTATTGTTCTGGAGATATACTACCTTGCTCCATGTGGAAGAGAACAAGTCTGGACAGAGTGACTTTCATGATGGCTTCTCCATGACCAGTGGGTGAGACAGCACCAATCTGGTTATCTGCATAGCCTCCACATCCTGACACACAGGAAAAGAAGAACCAGTTAGATAATAATATTTAACTCTAGGGACCTAGAGGACAGTTCAGAGCAAACAGTGCCCTCCACAAATATTGGCACCCCTCATAATTCTGAGCAAAATGAATAACAGTAAAAACTGTCTTAATTACTTAACATTTTGATCTTTCATTCAAAATGTTAGCAAAAATTCTAATGATGAAAAAAAAAAAACTAAACCTTGTCATGAAATAATTCTTTTTTAAGTCTATGTGTGACACTGTTATTGGCACCCCTAGAAAATCTGACTGAAGTATATTTCCCTTTATATTTTATGTTTTAAAGTTCACTTGAGTGATTAGGAACTGGTCAGACATGATTTTCTGTTTTACTGGGGAATATATAAGAGATGAAAAACAGACCAAATTCTATTCTATTGCTATGAGAAAGATCAGAGAATACAGCAATGATGTGCGACAAAAAGTTGAACAAATCAGGAAACGGCTACAAGAAAACAGTTAAACATTTGATAATGTGCATTTTCACCATCAAGTCAATAATTTATAAGTTTAAAACAACTGGAGATGTTAAGAATCGGCTGGAAAGAAGACGTTTGTCTATACTGACCCCACACACACTGAGGAGGGTGGTTCGAGTGGACAAAGAATCTCCAAAGATCACAGATGAGTTAGGTCTTGGGATCAGAACATCTCCCAAACTACAATCAAACATCACTTATATAACCATGAGTTGTTTGGGGGGTGGGTTGCCAGAAGGAATGCTCTGCTGTCAAGAACCAATAAACTCAAGTGCCTACAGTTTGCCAGACGTTCCTGGAACTTTCAGTGGGACTGTGTTCTATGATCAGATGAGACCAACAGAGAGGTTCTTGGCAACAGTGACCAGAGGTGAGTTTGGCATAGACACAAAGATAGCCATGTAGAAAAGCACCTCATCCCCACTGTGAAGCATGGTGGTAGATCTGCAATGTTGTGGAGCTATTTTTCTTCCAAAGGCCCTGGACAATTTATTCAGATACACGCTATCACAGACTCCATCAAGTACCAGCAAAAATAAAATGAAAACCTGACTGCCTCAGCCAGGAAGCTTGAACTAGGCCATAGTTTGGATCTTCCAGCAGGACAATGATCCTAAGTACGCCTCAAAATCAACATAAAATGGTTCACTGACCACAGAATTAAGGTTTTGCCATGGTCATCCCAGACTCCTGACCTAAACCCCACAGAAAACCTGTGAGATGAGCTGAAGAGGAGAGTCCACAGTGTGGACCTCAGAATCTGAAGGATCTGAAGAGGCTCAGTATGGAGGAATGGTCTCAAATCCTTTGCCATGTGTTCTCCAGTCTCATTAAAGCATTATAGGACAAGACTCAGAGCTGTTATCTTTGCACAAAGTATTAAATGAAGGGGTGCCAACAATTGTGGCACACACAGATTTGAGAAAAATATTTATTTCCTGATTAGATTTAGGTTTTTTTTCTTCAATCATTGTACTTCAAAAAAGGTCAGATTTGTGTTAATACTTTGAATGAAAGATCAAAAGAATAAAGCCTGTTTTATTCATGTTTACCAGGGGTACCAATATTTGTGGAGGGCACTGTATACACCTAAACAGTCAGATAAGCAGTCTGGTGCTAAGCCATTAAAACTTTTAAAGTAAAAAAAGTCCTGCATGACACAGATAACCAGGACAGGACCTTCAGTATAGGCATGATGGCAGCACTCTTTCTAGTTATACTAAAAACACAGGCGGTGTCATTCTGCACAAGTTGTAGGGGGTGGATAGATTTCTTAGGGAGTCCAGAGATGAGTGCATTCCAATAGTCAAGTCTGCATGTCACAAATGCATGGACTGCAAGTTTCTGGGATTAACAAAATAGCCTTACTTTGGCGATATTTCTCAGGTGGAAAAATGATATTTTAAGTCTCCAACACTATATGCTTCATGTGAATTGCCAGAACTCCTAGTTCCTTTAACTACTAGTTCCTAGTTCCTAGGCCCGATGAGAATATTGCCTGTTTTCTCTTCATTTCATTTCAGAAAATTTCAATTCATGATGATCACCTCCACATGACATAAATCATACCATCAAATATCCATTTTGCCAGAATGAACATTTTTGGCCAAAAATTGTGTAAATTGATTGAAATGGCACTGATCTAATACCAGGTATCAGTATCGGGTCAATATCAGAAGAAAATGCTGAATGGTATAGGGAAAAAAAGAATGAATTTGATCCAGTCCTTTAATAAATCTTGCCTGAAATAGCACACACTCCCATTGTGTAATATGATGTTGTTAGCTGTGTATTTCTTCCTGGGGGGTAGTAGAGTGTTTGAGTAGTTTGAGCATTATAGACTTTTAGATACTCATCTGAAGTGAAGTGCTTCAATTAAAGACAGCTCATTTAAAACAGCACTATCGGTATACTCAAAATTTCAATATTGATATGATGGTGTGGTATTGTAGCATCTCTAATAACAATTAAGTTGGGTTAAACATGAGGTAAAACCTTAATATTGTGAGTGATTTTTGGACAGTGCTGTACAATGACAGAGATCACCTTACAATTAGATTCTACAGTAAAACTGCCTTGAACTCAGAGCAGTTGGATAAAAAAGAAAACAACACTTAGGAAACCTACAAACCTGGAATGTAGACTAAGGACTAAGAAAATCTTGCAGAGAATATGTTTAGGGACTGTCTTTATTTTTTTGACCACTTGATGGCATCATCACACTTTTTAGAGTAGACAGATGCAGAGAATTTGCACATATTGATATCGTAAAACAGAAGTGAATTTTATGTTGATGGAAAAATATATATATTTTAATAGGCATTTAACAATTGTAAAATTAAGAAATGTTTGTTGTTTTCTGACTAACAACTAAAAATTTCCTATTACCCAAAATGTATAATCCACAAAACTGAGTTCTGAGAGTGTGAATAATGTATGTCTTATTGCTATGTTGACTGTAGGGTTGAACATAGAAAGTTAAGTATTAACTCAACAGGCTACTGAGCAGCTGAACATTACAGACATTCTTGCACGTCCAAAGGTAAAAGATCAACTGTCATCACAACCACTGCAGCAATCTTCTGCAGAGTACAGAAGTGCAGAAAGCTCTTACAATTACATTTGTTCTACTCACAAACATATTAACACTTCTGAAATGTAGAATTTAAAATCAAGACAATGGTGAGGCTAGACTAGGCTCAGGTGTTTCTAACTCACCAATACACGGTGTGTCTCCAACACGACCCTCCATTTTGTTTATTATGCCTCCTGTGGAGGTAGCACAAGCCAGATTTCCCTCCACATCAACAGCTACTGCCCCAACTGTGCCCATCTTTCCCCTGCAACACACACGCACTTATAACAACGCCCTGAAACACTGTCCTTAAGATTACAACGTCAGAACACAAGCAATTACTTTAAACAACACTTAAACAATGGTATATCAAGTGCATGAGATATGTAATATGTCTATGGTAAAACAAGCTCTTACATCTGAGACTCCACAGGGTTAGCGCCTGGCTCCAGGTTCTTCTTCCAGCGCATCCTGGCATAGTCTGTTATCAGTGACTCTTCAGGCACTTCAGGGACACCCATGGCCCTGGCAAAGTTTAAGGCCCCCTCAGCCGTCAAACATAAGTGACTAGTCTGCATAGCAAAGGTAAATGTAATAATATGTTACACTGAACTAGTGAACTTATTTCATATTGATGCATTAACTGAAACAGTATCAAAAATGACAGTTACTAATGTAAGGCAGTTGAATTTTAACTTAATGTTAAGATAAAACCAAACATGTAAACCAAATCTTCAGATATTTCCAAAAACAGAACCATAAAACCACACTGATGAGATCATGTTTCAAGGCAAAGCTTGTTCAGCTAAGTGACTGTACTTTTGTGCAGCTACATGCCTCTGCCTCAGAACACTGCACTGTGAATTAGCTCAGTTTGGTCTGTTTTAAGTTGCCCCTTTTTGACTAGTCTTTAAAGTGCTGATGATTGCTTTATTGTGCTTGATATGGAAATGTATTTTTTTTTTTATCATCTCTGTGATTAGACAAGATGAGGCATGTCCCAGCATTCTGCTGCATAATGCAGTTAGCTCCTCAATTAATCCTAGCCTGGATAAAGACAAACAAAATAAGCCGAATAAATAAATAAATAAATAAATAAATAAATAGCTCAGCTAATGAGTTACATGTCACACTCCTTCGTACTTGGTGTAACCATCCCTTTCAAGGGAAACCACACTAAACGTTTTCCTTAAATGTTTAATGAGGCTGGGGAACAAAACAGCAGGAGTTCTTCACCATTCTTCCATTCAAGACCTTTCCTGTCTTTCACACCCTTAGGCCTACCCTTATGGGCAGCTCTCTTTAAATTCACACCACACGTTCTTCACTGGGTTAAAATCCATATAATGAGGCAGTCAGTGCAAAATATTTCTAATGCCACTAGTCTTAGCTGACAAAATAGTTCAGTTTTGGTCTTGTGTTTCACATAGTATTTTAATGTACAGTCTACCATTAAAGCCATCTTGAACGCTTCAGATTCCTAAGCAGCCTCATAAACTGCAAACCCCTGCATAAATGTCTAACCTGTTTTTTGATTGTCTACATCTGCCATGTTCTCATATTAAACTTCAAAATGATTTATCAGTAGTAATTGATAACAGATGAAATCAGTACGTATTTTTTCCTTTTGTTATTGCATTCATAAACATATTGTGTACCAATTCATTATCTAAATGCACAACTGCAGTCATGGTTTTACTTAACTAACACACACAGTACTGAATTACTCTGAGATCCACAGCACAAGTGAGTGCCACATAAAAATTGGTCCAAACGTATTGATTTTTTTAAAAATTGCTTCTGCCCCACATACCCCAAAATCTGCTGTAATGTGCAAAGGAGGATAGTTTTCCTTTTTGAGTCTTGAATCCTCTCAACCTTTTTCCTAATGCTTTTTTGTTCACTTTTCCCTGCTACTTCTGTGCTTGGTTTTCTCGTTAGGGGTCTGGACCCAGATAGGAATAAAACTGACTTCACTACCTTCCCATTAAAATCTCAAAGGCATGAACCTCTGGATGCTTCAATGTGTTTGTCATTGCCAATAAGAGCTTTGGCAACTTCCCTAAATTCCTCCTTATGCTGATGTGACCACACAACCCAACCAAACATTGTGGTTGCCCACTTCTTACCCCTGGGGTTTTTTCTGACTTCCTCACCAGCTGCCCACAGGGAAGACGTATTTGGCACTCTTCTTGCAAAGTTAACTTTTACATTTCTTGAGTTCAGCATGAAAAGCAGTAAGTGATAAGATGTTTCATACTTAAATACATTTTCTAAAAGTCCAACAAAACATCTTTTTTATTTGTATTAGAATGAAAATACACATTTTGTTTAAGCACAATAGTTTAAATGAAGTGAAACAGTAGAAAGGAATGTATTTATTGTTTTACAATGGTACCTTCTCCATGACCATCCTGGCGAGCTGGGTTGGGTTAGCCACTCCCCTAACTGCAGACACAGCACCACTGTCTAGAGTACGTCCATCCATCACCAAAGCATCCATCTCCACTCCCCCTTTCACATTCAACACCGACCCTTTACCTGACCACACACACACACACACATACATACAAGGTTTTAGGCACCTGATGAACTTTAAAAAGTAAAAAGATACATACAATAGATATAATATGAACAGTTATTTGGACAGTAGGCTATTATATGTTGGCAAAATATTGGATAGGACTACGCTCCTCCCTAATGCTACCTGCATTATATGCTGGGTTGTTCTCCAACATGGTGACAGCCTCTACCACAGCATCCACGGCACTACCTCCAGACTTCAGAACAGCATAACTCCCTCTTGCTGCCTCCCGTACCCCAGCACAGGAGATCTCAGCACGGTCCCTGGGAATAAACCCCGCACCTCCATGGACTACCACAACAGGCAACATGGATACTGATGTGACTAAATTCCTGGACAAATGTCAGAGGTAGACATAGGTCATACACAGTAACAAAGCAATACTCACACTATGCTACTATGAACAATTTTTTAACATTTCCCCATCACAACAATGTACAGCAGAACATACTGAGCAGTGTATTGGGTTATTACTTTAAAGCAATTTTAAGGTTAATTTGTGTACTTTATTTGGAACGGGGGTATTGATCAGACACGTTGACTTTGTCCCAGAAAACTGTAGCTTCTAATGTCTATCCTCTGACTGACCCTGTTACTTTAACAAACCAATACTATTGAGCAAGGCACTTAACTCTAGTTTACACCAGGTGACAGGTCAGCACTGCAAACTGTAAACAGTTTTTAGGGCCCCTCAACGCCCAGGGGTTGACTACAGGTGTCATTAGGGCCGTCCTGACTACCTTAAATTAAACTCAATTATTAAATAAAAATGATTAAGATTTTCCCTCTTGATGAACTGATCAGTTAGCAATTTGTAATATAATGCATATTTAATTCCACTTACAGTAAGAAACACAGCCTGATAGACAAACCCATGTATATACATTGTAATAAGTAGCGATCACAGCATTCAGAATCACTGCCATGCATTTCCAACGGAATATGCTAGTGTCCATTAAGCTTTGAAGCATCTTGTGACTTGATATTGGATGGCACTCTACTAGGCTCATTTGTCCAATCTTGATGACTTACTTTTTTGAGTAGCCAGTAGGATCTTTGAGCACTGTTTGCCCATTACAGCTGATTCATCAAATAAAATTCAAATGACTATTAATGTGGTCCAGTTTAAAAGTCTATGACAACAGCAAAAGGATGATAAAAGGGAGCGCCAGAGACCACTAGGCTAGCTGAACAATGTGTTTGGTTTGATTTTGTCTGGATGTTTGATAAGAAAATGATTAATTGGAAGAAAGGCTGTGCAGGTGCACATGGCTCCAAACACGTTTTGTGTTGAATTGGTTGTCCAGCCCTGATTAAACTGTATAAAGGCCACATTCTGGATCTCATGGCAGCTGGGACAGGTCAAGACTATTTTAGTCTTTATGAAACAGCATATGTTTGGCACTTCTGACATCCTGCACTGACTTCTGTTGACTGCAGCTGGGTCAAAGACTGTAGCCAAAGTTAGGACCTATTTTGTGTGCTTCAATATGCAAGTTTACAGACCGGTTTATATAGAAATTGTCAAAAACATGAACTGAAGAGTTTCAGTTCTGCAAACAGAAGTCATGGACCACGAGACTACAGATGAGCCTGGGTAAACAATTAAGCGCCCAGTCAGCATTTCTTTCTTTAACCCGAGTCCGCCTGAGGAGCTCTGCCAAACTCCCTCAGGAAATATTTATCCGTAAGAAAGTCGGTCCTCAGCACGTAAACATTTAACTTCACATTTTTCTATAAGTTTTATTCCAGTCTATATGTCTACATAACTCATTAGTTTATCCAGGCCACATCAGCTGTAGTACGTGCAATATTTACCCCGTGAATCTCTACATGCTTTCAAACCAAAGTTTGTCTAAAAGCCTAAAATATAACGTTAGCCAACGTAAATTTATTGGAAACTCACCCAAAACGACTGTAATGTTTATTACACTAAAGTTTGATATGAAAAACCACAAAGGTCGGCGCATGCGCTGAATGCAACTGGCTTGAACCCGCTGGAGTGAATCTACTGGGTGAGACCGGTTCTGCGGCTCGGCAGCCACAAATTACTGGGAGACGGAGCTTTGAGCTACAATACAGACACTGACACTACAATAAAGACTAATAAAAAAAATCACGGGACATGGTAAAACTGTGCTGTCATCCTCGGGCTGTTAAGTTTACTTTGATAAACTATCGTGTTATTAAATCTTTGTCAACCCAAATCCTGAGTGCTCAGACTTCACTGCCCCACTCAGTGGACACAATGAAGCGAAAAGCACCAAGTCGCACTCGGAGCAAACACACGCACTGAAAACGGTAATGTGATTACAGATCAGGTGTTTACGTTGCTGAATATTGCATGCCACTGTCAAAACATCAACAATGTCATATGTTAAATATACACAATACTGGGGAACAATATTTAAACAATACAAATTTTCTTACCAGTGTTGGTTAATGAAATAAGAAATCAGTTGAACTTACAGGCTGAGTAGGGCTGAGGAAAAACTGACTCACAGCAGCCAGGCTGCGTCAGAGCACCAGGCGATGTCAAATTAAAAGTACCGTGATTTAGCGCGGAGCTCTTATTAATTCAATAATTACATAATCATATGATGCAACTCAATAGTCAGTTCTTGTATATGTTTACACCCTACATAATAAGAAGTGTAATATATATTTATCGTTATCTTGATAAAGTATCTCACCGCATGCTTTTCTGCACATGCAGTGGACATCATCAGTACTTACAGAGCACTGACCAGATGCATGTTTGGTTCATAAAGAGGTCATAATTTGTCCCATTTCACTGGATTCAATGCAGCTCAGTATATAAAATGATAAACAAATAATTGAATTCATAGTTTTCTTAGTAATTTTAAAATTTGGCACTACTTTGTCTGCTCTTACTTATCAGATGTCAGAAAATGTATATCATGACATTGTGTATTATGTGTGTGTGTCTATATATAGACACGCTAATGCTCCTTTGAATTTTGTTTTAAGTAAAAAAGAGCATTAAAGTAGTATGATCTGACCAATAAACACGTTAATTGTTTTAACAGTTTCATCCCCTACAAAGTGAGTTACACTGATATATGTGTTTTTAGAACCACCTATATTGGGCTAAACGGTAGTTCTCACGCTCGTTTCCCCTTTTTGACATTATTCACCTCTCGACTTAAGACAGGAGAGGATCCGCCGCCGCTGGCCAAGGTCCTGAAACTCTCTGCCTATATGAAACTTCTGCTCACAGCGTGTACGTCTGTTTACCATCTATAAACCTATGCGCATGTTCAGTTACTACTTTGTCAGAAAACTTGCTGGCGTCTTTCCCTCGACCGCATCTACAGGTGACCTCGTTCACAGTGACGGTGAGATGTGCAGTGCACCGCAGTGCTCAATGATGCTAGAGCTCTCTTTCTTTGCGTCATGATCGCTGTGTCAGTGTCCACTCCATGTGCTTTAAGTCCACGGATGATGCTAATAATAATAGTGAAGATGATGTCTGTAGTTTCGTACGCCGCGGCGGGCTGCGCTCGTGCACGAGCCGGGGACTCAAGCTGAGGAGGCAGAGAGGGAGAGAGGGAGGGGAGGGGGTTGATGAGGCTGGGAGGCGCGTCACTAGTGCGCTGTGATTGGAGGAGGAGGAGAGGGGGGGACGAAGAGAGGTCGCGTGCGCGCACGGCGAGCCCCCCATCCATTCTCAAACGAGTGTGCGCGCGTCTCCGTGCGGAGGATGCGCGCGCTCGAGGGGCTGCGGTCCCATTGACTGTTCGGTCTCCCTGACAGCGGCAGGCTCGCGCAGCGGCGGCTCTGAGAATACACACACACACATACACACACACAGAGGGAGTGAGAGAGAGAGGGAGAGAGATTCCGCCTTGCCCTCAGTCCACGACGCGCGCGTCTCTATCGGCGGAGAACGAAGAACAAAAGGCTCGAGACAGAGCTCCTCACCGCGCGCCACCTCCTCCAGGAGCAGAGATGGGCTCCCAATAACTGGAACCTGGAGGGGAGAGGCAGGCAGGCGGGCGGGCGGGCGGGCGGGGGGTGGGGGTGGGGGGGCAGATCGAGAGGAGGAAAAAAAGCCGTATAGGAGGAGGAGGAGGAGGAGGAGGAGGTAGAAAGCACAACAGTGGGCGCCCGCAACCATGGACGGTCCGCCAGCGCTGGCGAGCACGAGCAGCGCCCGCTAAGCCCACGGAACGGACCATGTCGTGATCGGGGCGGCTCTTCAGCGCTGGGGATTTGACATCAGAGAGAGCTACGAGCTGCCAAGGAGGGCTAAAACATGTCGGCCTCGGTGGGGCCCCGCGGCGGCCCTCGCCCACCCACAGCGCCGCCCTCCATGCCCGAGCTGCCGGACCTCAGCCACCTCACCGAGGAGGAGAGGCAGATCATTATGGCTGTGATGGTTCGGCAGAAGGAGGAGGAGGCGAAGGAGCAGGCCATGCTGAGGTAAAACTGGAAGACACGATCGCTCGTTCTCAGGCGTTCGGAGGATGAGGGGTGGGGAGGGGGGAGTGGTGGACCTGCGGCAGCTCTCATGGTTTAGTGCTCAGAGGGACAGACTGCCTTAGCATGTTTTAGTTGGGTCCCAGAATCAAGGCACGTGAGTGTGTGTGTGTGTGTGTGTGTGCCTGTGAGTGCTTCTGTCTGTCTGTCCGTCTTTCTATATAGGCATATAGGCTTAGCCCCCCTGTCCGTTATGGAAGCCAATGTTTCCATGCAATGTAGATTTGCATGGAAGCCCCAGTGTTGCCAGAAGAAAGCAGGCTCAGTTCGAGCTAGCTCTGCTCTCCTGCCAGTTCACATGGTGGAGCAGATATTCAGTGGTCTCCACCATCCTGTCCCGATTCAGACGGGACAGCGAGGGGAACACTGAGGGGGGCGATGGCTGTAGAAGTGCGGCTCCAGGTGTAGCTCGCTCACTTCTGAGAGAAGGGGTGTGTCGATGTGTGGGAAAATATAGAGCACTGAGTCCCTGCATGATCACGCTTTTGTGAGGATTCCGTGTCTCGATTCACACACCGCTAACCTGCTGTTACCGCACCCTCAGCTCGAGCTCCTCAGTGGAGAGAGGATGCACTGACTGCAGCTCGCGTTTTACTCGTACGCTGGTGTAAACACACGCAGACGCTGCTTAATCCTTAGATATGAATGGAGTAATCAGGGGTGTAGATCCTGCACAGCAGGACAGCCTCATGGCAGTGAGCACTTTAGTGTGTTATGATCCACACAGAAGCATGAATGAAGAGGCGCTGGGTTAAACCCGGCTGATGAATGGGGGGAATGGCTGCTCTTTTTTCTTATTAATCACAAATCATCCCGTTCAAATCGACACGGTGTGAAGGAATCACGTCTCCCTGCTTTGTCACGACCAAATTGCCGTGCCTCGTCATCGTGACGCTCGGATTCGTCTTAACCCCTTCAGCGAATGGCTATTTTCTACAGCAGTGTGTGAAGCATTTAGAGTGACACTGACCAGGCAGTGCTGGATCTGTGATGTTTTGTAGACTGATGTAGCTTTGAGCCAGTTTACACAAGTGTGTTAAGCATCCTTACTCAAAAGCAAGCTGGCGTGAAAGACAGTGAGTTGGAACACTGTTAGAAATAAAGGTGCTCTCCAGGTACATTTTCGTTCATCAAGAAACAAACAATGTAAATGGTCCCTCAAAGGTACAGCAGTGCTTTTTAAGGTCCATTTGTTCACCTTAAATATGTTTTTCCCAGTGAAAAAGTATGTATTTGTACCTTTTCATAACCTAATGTTTTAAAACCGAACAATAAAATTAAAAGCCTGGAGACGAGACAGGGTGTGTGGAGTCAATACAACTTAGAAAATATAATTTCAATGGATTATGGTACAATTATGTTTCCTGACTAAAGGTGCTGAGATGTACCCTTGAGGGTACCACCGCAGTGACAAGAGGGACACTTCCCCAGTGACAGATTCATGCCCTTTTTTCTGAGAGTGTATATTTATCAGTGCAAGTCAGGGGCTCCTCTGGGTTAACGATGTCACATGAGAGAAGAAGAGGTTTAAAATAGGCTGTGCTTTCTGCTGAGCCGTTCATGTCCATGTTCCAAAACCCACTGCATCCAGGACACGTCCGACTGCTGAAACTTGGCCGAGGTCAGATTTCTGATACTCACACCATGAAATGACATGTTACAAAGTGTATGTAATTATAATATTTGCTGCATTCACATTGACATTAGACTTTCAAACAATATCTGATGGAATTTCTTAAACCATAGAACATCTTGTTATCTCAGAGGGATGAGTAAATTCAGTGTTACACTTACTATTCAGATATATTTTGGTTCATCAAGGTACAAACAGCGTAAATGCACCCTCAAAGGGCCAACTATGTACCTAATGTTTTTACCATTACCTAGTGTTTTAAAAGAGAAAAATAAAATAAAAAGCCTAGAGTTAAGACAGGGTATATGGAGTCACTGCACCTTAAATATATACCTACAATGCAATATAGTACAGTTACGCTCCTAAAAGTACTGAAGATGCGGTGGAAAGGTACCACCCAGCTGCAGCTCAGCAGCTTAGTTTTTTTCTGGGAGTAAAAGTAGGCCTACCTACAAGTAGGCCTAACTACATTTAAACAAAATTGCCATTGACATAAGTATATTCTTGTCCCCTGGGCACCACTGATAATTAATTACACAATGACTTAAGCACAAACTGTGGAACTGGTAGCTATTACTGATGTTGTCCAAGAAAATATTGATCGTTATCTTTGTCATTCCTCAGTTTGAGTGCTCTTTTAATCTGATTTTTATATGAATCTCCCTTACTCTGATCATATATTCTTACTGCATACAGACCTACACATTCAGGGGCATCGTCCTTTAAGTTGTTAAGGAAAACATAAGTTTCTACTACAGTTGTTTCAGTACCAACATGCTTTAATTGCCCTCACAGTTTTGGTACTGCATAGTTTTCTGTCTTTTGAAATGGTCACTTTACACCACACAGTCTGCTATACTGCATATTGCAGCACATTCACTGTATTTATGAGTACCACCTAATCTTTTATTACTTCTTTGTATTAGACAGAATGCTCTGATCTCAGTGATCAAAGGATCAGTGCACAAAAATAGTTCTTTCATTCTAAAAACAAAAGGCTGATACGGCAGGAGAAGTGTATTGATGGACAGCGTCTGCGTTGTCTTTGTTGTGTCTTTTCTTTCTTATACGGCAATACAAGCAGCGAGAGACAAGTTCCTGTTCATGAACAGTGTTTCTTTCTCAAAGGGAATTTATAGCCTGTAACCCAAACTGGAGGCCCGGTGCACATCACAAGTGCTGGCTGCATGCTGTACACTTCTGATGGGCAAATGGGTTTGTTGGAGTAGAGTATTATTCTTTGATATTGTTTTAGTTTAACAAACACTTCGTCACTGTCGGAACAAACCTTTGTATCTCTAATAACTTTACAGTAGAGGGAAAAAAGCATTCTTAACTTTAATGTGTGTTAATGTACATCAAAGTTAAGACCAGTAAAGCTCAGCTGGTGTTTTTGAATGAGTTGAAAAGTAAAACCTGAAAAAAAGTTTTAATATGACAGCAGCGCTGTATTATTTTTAAAAGGTTACTACAGAGAAAGTACTGGAGTGTTACATTTTATATGACAGAACTTTGGCATTTTTAGGTGGGTGTAGACTTTGAAAAAGTTGTTTAGCAGTGTATAACACTGGTCAATAATAATGCAAAGGATTATTATTCTTTGGGCTAACATCTGAACATAATCAAAAACCCATGACTTTTGTCATTGAAAGCTTTATTGTCATTGTCTGAATGACGTTTCCTGTCTTACAGAGAGGAGCAGCCCATACAAGCGAAAACAGTAAACCTGGTTGGGAACAAGAAACCCCCACAGCAGAATGACATCAGGTAAACATGACTTTCATTCAGCCTTATCTGGTGTTAACAAATAAAGCTTCTTCTAGTCTGGAGGTGTTTGACGGACTTTGGAAAAGTAGGTCATGTTCCTCAGTCATGCGGGACTGTGGTTCTGCTAGCATGTTTCTCTGTGTTTTAGTTCTGTTCATAGATGATGAAGGCGCTTGTTGAAGCTCTGCACTGCAGTGGATGTTTTGGTTTTAGTTTCAAGTTGATGTTCACTGCAAGAAGCTCAGTAAATGGCTTGTTTCTGGTGGTTATCCTGCTAAGTGCAGAGGATGCATTTGTGCTTACTTTCAGTGGTTTACTCTGAGCCAAAAGATCTGTGTAATTGTGTTTCTTGTATGGGATAGCTGAATACATACATCTTACACTGAGCTGCTAGTTTATTACATATACGGTACTGTGCAAAATTTTTTGCACCTGCAAAACTGATGTTAAATGTTAAAATCTATGTATCTGCACAGCAAGCAGAAAAAAACACTAATATTACAATAAATACAAACAGTATTAAAACAGTAAGTAGCAGTTTTGTGTATGTAAATGCATTCATTTAATCATGTACAAACCTCTCTTCTTCTTCCCAGTATAATTTGTGGCTATTTTTCAATATCTGGTTTAACTAATCAATACTTCATTAAGTTAAATCAGGTGTGCTTGTTATATAATATAACAAATTTGTGCACTGTCTGGGGGCTTCCGGGAGAAATGTGGAACCAAACATTGCTCTTCTAACCAGCTCAGAAAATATCAACTACTTTTTTTGAAAAAAGGAAATTCTTGTTACCTTTTATTGTATTCATATTTATTTGCATCGCATAAACATGCTTATTGGCAAGATAAATGGTTTTAAATAATGTGCTTTGCACTGTACTGTATATATATTGTACATTTTACCAGCACCACACCCACTAACATGCCACTACTGTGTTGGCATCACTGCTGAGCTGAGAGTGGTCATTCACCCAAATAATAGCCGGTGGTGGTCTTATAGTGGTCTCTTCTCATTGATGGATGGGATAGGGAGACTGATAAATTGTGCATTGTAAAAAATAGCTACAATCAGTAAATGTATGGCTACAAAGTGCACATATGTAGCAGGTGTACCTGTTAAAATGACCAATTAGTGCAGATACAAGTTAGGAGAATCAAATAAAAGGACAACTCAGTGTATATTGTGCAACGGCATTTAGCATGAAAATGTAAGCAACAAAGATAACGTTCAGGCTGTTTGGAAGGTGTTGTCACGACACTGCCTTGGCGCTATCTTGGTTAGATTTATGTCACCTAGTACTTAGTGGCTTGTTCTGAACACTCAAAATGAGTGTTTAGTTTGTGTGCTTTTCCATCTTCTCCATCTGTTTTAATGGTTTATGTCTCCTCTGGCCTACTCCAAGCTGGCTGAGCGGGGCGCTGTGCTAAATATCAGAACATTATCAACTTCACATCTGTCTGTCCTGCAAACACAGAAAACAAATACAGGCTCCTGTGGTTGTGCTTTGATAGGCCAGGAGAGTAATATTTATGCCACATTAAAATATTTATGTGTGCCAGCGTCGCCCTGGTTCTTTGCTCAACGAGGAGCATGAGAGCTGCAGCACAGTGCAGATAAAGAGATCTCTCTCTGTCCCTCTCTCTCTCTCTCTCTCTCTCTCTCTCTCTCTGTGTGTGTGGGTGTGTGTGTGTACTGTGGTAAAGCCAGAGGATTGACAGGGTTTAGGATTAGAAGGCAAGTTGGCCTGACCACTTCTGCATCCACATGGAGTCCCGTGATGTGGTCAGTTGTGATGTCATCAAACTGTTAGAACTGAACTCTACAACCACATCAGTGGGCGCTTATGTCAGTGACCACTTAAACTTGTCACCACCAGGCTTAGCCTTGTATTACGACAGTACACAGGATTATGAAAGCAGTGCTGTCAATACAGATGGAATGGATACAGATCTGTGCTGTGTAACTCATCACAGAGCATGTGTCTGCTTATCCAATTCAGCCTTATTTATCTGAATATTATCTGAATATTAGAGATGCCCCAATCAAGCTTTTTTGCCCTTAGTCCTGTTTCGAGTCACTTAATATTGAATATCTGCCAACAGAGAGTCTGATCTGTTGTTTATAGTGTCATGGATAATACAGTGCATAAATAATATAGTGTACATTACAATGAAGTAAATCAATTCAGTAATATTTGGCAGTTTGCTTACTTAAAATGCTACAGTAAAGTCAGCCAGTTCAAACAGTACATCTTTTATAAAGGATCTTTCGTAAAGGCAATGATTGTGTTTTGAAGCATGAATGATTATTTGCCTTGTTAAGTGGTTCTTTTCCATAATGGAGAACCTCTTGTATCTGGTTCTTTAAGGAAACTTTTACAAAATGGTTCTTTATAGCACCTTAAACTGGTCCTTTATTGTTACAAGTCAAACAATTTTTTAGTACTACAAAGAAACTATTTGGCTAAGAGTGTAAGCTATTAAATGCAGCTATTGTAGCTGTTAAAAATGTTTTTTGAACTGTTTTCATTTTCCACTTTAACCTTTTTGCACACTAGCTATTAAATGCAATTTCCACCTGTTTTGGAGCTCGCTCCATGGTTTTTGCACCATGCATTTTTTCTTCAATAATGTTGAAGGAGTATATTTAATATATTTAGATAAAAAAATTAGAAAATATATTTGATTTACAAAACGGACATTATTTTCACAGGAGGGAGTTCTTACCCCTCCTCATCCACCCCATCATTGCTCACTAGCAGCTAGGGGTGCAACGATTATTCGACTTAGTCGACTAAAATCGACGACCAAATTAGTTGGCAACTAATTTAGTAGTTTCATTAGTTGGTGACGTCATTACGCGTCTTTCTCGCGCTCACTAGGAGAGTTTTGACATTGCCGCTCACTGGAGAGTTAACAACAGCGCGATGGCTGCCTCAAGAACAAAATCCTCAAAAAGTGTGGAGCTAAACTCAGAAAAGAAGGTTATCAGTTGTGCTTTTTGTAAGCCGACCATAGCTGGCTATGGGAGCACATCCTCCATACTGTAGCATTTGGAGAGGAAACTTGTCGGCTCACTGGATGAAGAAGATAGCTCGGTAAGATATGCCGCGTCCCAAACCGCATACTGGCACACTAAATAGTGTGTAAGAATAGCGCATATACCATTAGAAGTGCACTTATTAGTGTAGTGTGTGAAGTATAGGTACTGTGTGGTTTGGGACATAGTTGTGCTAGCGAGCTAGTTAGCTAATGTTATTGCTAAAAGCCGTCCTACTTCATGCTGTGAATGGAGCTGTAATATTTTCTATTTCGAAATGCATTTTCTCTGGAATTGTTAACGGAGTTGGAACAGAGGAGCAAGTAACTATTATTCACAGCGACGCTGTTCACTTTCCAGATAACGTTTACAGTTTTAAACACTGCATGTGATTGTAGAATGTAGTTGCAGCAGAGTGAAGACAGACAGCAGAGCACAGATCACAGACTGCACCGTTTATATTTAACATTTAAATTTAGATTTTTTGTTTATTTATTTGATTAAAGAAAAACTGATTTAGTTTTGTTATATTTTATTGCTGCTACTTTGCACATCCTTCGTTATAAATTTTGACAGGAAAAATACATTGGAGTTTTTTTTTCTGTATTAGCAGGAAAGTTCATTAAAACAGTGAATTCTTGAATGTTATTCGTCTTAATTGTCTTCACTGTTAGTTAGCAAATATATAAAACAATCTCAAGCAAATTTTAAAAGCTAAAAACTACATGAAAGTTATTTGGTAATGTAGTGATTCATAATCCGAATAATCGATTATTCGTTTCAGTAATCGATAGATTATTCGAATATCAAATTAGTCATATGATGCAGCCGTACTAGCAGCTAAAAACGAAGTCACACCATTTCACACACAGAGAGCCAACAGTGTCCAAGTTAATTGAATAACAGAGGTATTGAGAAAACATTTCATTAGATCATATTAATTCAACATATCTGCAGAAAGTTAACTAGGGGCCTTCAGAAAAGAGTTAAAACACTTTCATGTTCAAATCCTTATAATGCTTCTGAAGGTCCCATTAAAGCCTGAGTAGACTGACAAATCAGTGTGATGAGTCGGTCATTAATCTCAGCATGACTGAGCTCTTTTGAGGGATGATTGAACTAAAGATTCTCCCCAGTAGTGAATATGTTCATGAGTGATAAGCTTAGCATCCTAGCAATCTTCTGTGCATTTTGTTACATACATGCCGTTGACTTAAAATCACAGCTACCCACTTTATAGTCAAAATTGCAAGATTGTGTTATTGGTATATGGTAAACTGTTTGCAGTGGGATTATGAGAGCAGCAGTGGACTGAAGCAGGCCATAAGAGCCAAAATAGTATTGAGAATTTTGCACCTTTATATAATTTTTTTTCATGAAACATATTAACAGAGGAGTTAACAAAGGAAATCCAGTAACAGCAAGTCACCATGTGTATTAATACAAATTACAACAACAAGGTTTTTCCATATGCCTTATCAATATGTGTTGTAAATATATTCGAACTCTGAGTACATTCTTTTTTACGTATTGTCTTACTGAATACATTTAGGATGTTGTATTCAGTATTCAGCCATCATTAGTTTTTGAAAGTGGTCTTGCCTAACTTGCTTGTGCCTTATTGCCACAACCTGTGGATAATGTCTGTTTATGTCACCTCTATGACACTGAGATAAAAAAAAAAACTTAATCAGACTTCATCAGACTTAATATAGCCAATACATCATTTTTACATGATTAAAATATTTCACATCAACACAAATTGGTCACATGAATATATTATTCATGTAGAAGTAATGCACACATATGACTCAAAGAAATTCAATGTACCTCTTTGTTGAGGGAGCTTGGATCAGCTTTGATTCCAATCTTTCAAAGTGAACTGGGACACCCCTACTAAATATGGATTTAACAGACGATCAAGCGTTTGTTTTGGTCGTAGGTGTAGAGACTCCAC